CTTCGGTTTACCATCGCGTTACGACTGCTGAGGAACTGTATTTCTTACGTTAGTAAAGTCCTTCAGTGGATGAATGGCGTTGATAAAGAAAATAATTATATATATATATATATATATATATATATATATATATATACTTTAGTTCAAAATTTTGAGCCTATCCCTAGTAATTTTCTAAAATGGTACCAAAAGTAGATGTTTTGTATTTTTAAAAAGAGAAAATTGCTATATATGGTTAAAAAGAGTAAAACATATTTTTCTATTAGAAAATTTATTATGACAAAAAGAAAAAAAAATCAAATTATGAGTATATTTGCTCTCGTCAAAGTATCCTCCATACAGGTTGATAACTGCAGCATAAATTTTGGGAATTCGTTGAAAAAGTTTCTCAAATATTAAGTTTGATAACTGATTCCAGACTTTTTTCAATGACTCTAAAAACAGTTTTTTCCTTTTCTTTTTTCACTCTTATATCAAGAAGAGACAATTCTTGAGGTGGCTTCAAACTGTAATATGTCTATATATATATATATATATATATATATATATATATATATATATATATATGAAATGGACAAAGTCCGATAATTATTTTAAAGACATTTTTATGTTTATACATTCTTTTTATAGCTACAAATATTTAAGTAAATGCTCTGTTTTATAATAAACAGTAAATGTTATTAATAGTGCGTTTATTATAAATCAGAGCATTTACTTAAATATTTCTATCTAAAAAAAAATGTATAAACATAAAATGTCTTTATATATATATATATATATATATATATATATATATATATATATATATATATATATTACATGTAATCGATCCGTTGGTATATAATCCGGGTGGATCCTAGTAACATTAATTATTGAAACTGATCTACAGAGAGCTCGATGTTTCGAATTTAACAGAGCATATGTTTTTTACAGCAAAAAAATATGCCTCAACATCGAAAGAACGGTTTGAAATAGTCTATTCCGATGTTTAGGTAATTTTTGTTCTTTTTTGTAATATATATATATATATATATATATATATATATATATATATATATTACAGCAAAGAAATATAGTCTTAAGATGTGCTATATTTATGGGATAAAGTGCTCAATATCAGAGATAGAGCGTGTAAATATATAAAAGTGAAAATTGAAGTCAACAGAGGCGACTCTCTGTTTCATGCTAGACGCAATATGTATATATGTGTGTATGTGTGTGTGTTCATATATATATATATATATATATATATATATATATATATATATATATATAAAACACATGCACTGTTTCGATGTAGCACTGCTTTATTCAACATCTGATACAGTAAAAGGGACGGTAACTTACATTGCTCGGTCTGGTTTTCTGGTAGTTTTAGAGTTCTTTTTCTACTTTTTTTTTTTTTCATCTTACTGTAGTACTTTACTTTAGTATTTCCAGTTCTCACTTGTAATAACCGTCCCGAAGTGAAATTGACCTATGGACCACACAAATATTAGACCCCCCCCTAATTTGCTATTATTTGTAATGTTATATGGACCCCGGTTGAAAATTACTTCCCTTAGTGTTTGTTGTTGTTATTCTTCTATAAAGAACTCACAACTTCATACTAATGCAAGTGAGGCCATTATGGAACTGCGGAGACTTTGTAGCATACGAGACTTTACACTTCCAACATATTCCTCTGATCTCTGACTATTTACATTATTCGGACTATTGTCCTCATCTTTGTCATCATATTTATTACGACGCTTCGTTGGAATGTCAAACTGAACGCTTTATTTCGCTCACTGGGGTAGACTGATCTAGTTCCACGTGACAGGTCTAATGGATGTTATCTCCAAGTTCTCCACTGCTTTAATCGGGTATTGAACTCACAATTCTTTGGATCCTGTCATTGGGTCTAACCAACGCCTTTATCTACTGTGCCATGTGTCCTTGAGGACATCTGTGTATGAATTTCTGGGTATTATAAACCTAATGTCTTCAGCAACCATTTTACTAGTGTTCATATTGAAATTTTTGCAGTTATCATTCATTTGTTTTACCAGAGAACATATTTCAATTGTTTTTGTTATTATTGCTTTTCTCTGGCAGTCCTTATTACTGGTTTCCATATTGTATTCATTTCTATGCTTGGTTGGCTCATAGATTTTTGTGGCCTAGCATATGTGCTGATTTCTTAAATTCACGATTTTTTTCTTATGGTGTTCTTTGTCTACCATCTCAACCTGATCCCACAGAGGGCGGTGATCTCGCTTTTCCCTCCATATGTGGTCAGTCACGCCTAATTTTCCCCCTTCCACTTGTGTTACAGCTTTTTGGTGTCCTTGAAGCGTTACCTTAAGGGGGCGACCTGTCTCCCTTAATATTTCTTTCCGCAGCTGCATGGGATGGCGTACCCGCAGTCTTTAGTCATGTTCTCTTCCGTGTAAAGACAGTTACTGAATATTTGAGGTATCAAGACATTTGTTTAAGGCAAATGATATTCTCTTGCAAGGAAGTTCAAGAAACGACATTCAAAGATTTCATGGCGTACAAACTTTTCGAGTTTTATCGTATAGGCATGAATAAATTTGTAATTCTGGAATAAAAGTTCATTCTAAAATCGCTTAATATTTTCAGAACCTAATATTTCCCTGTCCCCAAATTGACCACTCCTTCTCAAGGTTGTCACAACGTTGGAGTAACTTTGCGAGGTGAAGTAGCTGAAAATTTGGCACTGGTCATTTTGAACATCTGAATAATTTTTCTTCACTTGAACTTAAGAGGCAGGGGCAGCAGAGAATATGACACTCGGTAAAATTGTCCAAAAACATCAACCACTGATGAACGAGTTGATGCTATTCACCATATGGTTTGGGATGGCAGACGTCTTACTGTCCAGCAGATAGCTAAGTCTATTGGCATTAGTTCTGGTTCTGTTTTAACTGAGATCTGAGAGGGGATATGCAAGCTGCCCGCAAGATGGGGCCTAAGAATTCTGAAACCAGCGCAGAAGGTGAAAAAGGTTGACATTTCGAGTATTTACTTTCTTTTTAATATTTAGTTGCTCACAAATTTACTCATAAATTACTTACCCAGCAATAAATCAATAGCAAAGTTAGTCAAAGTTATAATGTATTAATTGTGTCAGCAATTCCTCTGTTATTTGAATTTTTGCTATTATTAAAGAAACATTCTCCAAGCGATAGAAAACAAAAACAGCTTCGATTTATGGAAACAATCTATAAAATGATTCAACATGAATTAAATTTCTCTCAATTTAGAAAGATTCATATTAAATATTTCTTTTTTTTAATTAAGAAATAGCAATCTGATTGGCGGCACTCACCACAAAACAAACCTGAACGTGTGATATTTAAAACTAATAGGTAATATAATACCTAAAGTAAATTCAAAACTCTGAGCGCATTTTTAATGAAATGAATATAATCTTCCTTTAACAACGGCTTACGAAAACCAGAAACACTCAGAATTTTAACTATATATATATATATATATATATATATATATATATATATATATATATATATATATATATTATAAATAAATATTCACATCAAAAATAGCTTTGTATTATAAGGTCATTTAAATAAGATCATGTAAATATTAACTGAAAGGATGTATTTGTAAAGAGAAAATGAATAAAAAAAGACAAGAGGAAAAATTATATCTAGTTCAATGGACGAAAAGCGTTGCCTAAATATAATTTTTCTCCCTTTCTAATTTTTATTCATATATATATATATATATATATATATATATATATATATACTTACCTGTACATTTATTTATATTTATTTTATTTATATATATATATATATATATATATATATATATATATATATATATATATACACTGTGCCAAATTATTATCGAGATAACTTTTTCTAATATTTCAAAAACCGTCAAATCAATTCACACAAAAGTTTCACACAACGTTGGCAATACCGACCTGCGCAATCACTGAATTTTTCGTACTGATCTGCGCAATGTACACAAACTGGCGCCATATTTGTTATCAGCATGGTGATTTGAGAGTGCCAAATTATTAGAAACAAAAAGAAAGTTCTTGTTCGAACACAAGAAAAATTAAATATAAGGCTTAACCGTAGTACTTTGTCTGTCGTTTTTAATGAAACATGCATAAACGAAGGATTGCTGCCTAAATATACAAATATATATATATATATATATATATATATATATATATATATATATATATATATATATATATTGTAGATTATTACCTGTAGAACAACATTTCCGCCTAGAAAAACACAATTTTAAAACCCATGCCAAATTCACTATAATTGAGAGAATAGAAAAGTTCAGAGCAGATAACATTAGAAAGATTTTAGAGTCCCATGAAAATAAGTGGATACAAGTTTTAAAAACGCAATATCCGGCCCGGTTTAATCATAAATTTAACAATATGGATAGTATTAATATATATCCCTACAAATCAAAAGCTACACATATTTCTCACCCACATAAGACAGACATGCTTACGGAGGTGTGGAGACCTCACACTTATACACACACCTATAGTAATATACACGCTTACACACATCATACTCACTCACTCCCTAACGAGCCAAATGATAACACACACCCATAGTAATATACACATAGTGTTGAAATATAAAATTACAATATGTACAGGTGAAAAGACTTTCAGACCACCCTGTATGTATACAAAAGCTGAGTATCATCTACCATGTATTCAATTGTGAAAAGAGAATGATATATTTTTATTACTTATTAAATGACCCATAAGGAGTTGATATGCCGTTAAACAAAATATCTGTGGGTAGGGTTTCATTTTTTTCTTGCACCATATTGGAGAGATTTTGAAAAATATTGCTTTGAAGATAATTTCATTAAAAAATATTATTTTATCATTTTAAATTTATTTTCTTTTAATTCCAAAATGCCTGCACGAAATCAAACGTTTTACCCCAAACCTATTCTTAGAATTCTTTTACCTGAGCTTGATGGTTAGCGAAAACCAGAAAAGTTTGTTTCTTTTCTTTTCTCCTATCCGGTCATCGTTTGTGTAAAAAAAACAAACAAACAAACCACCCTTAACTCGACGCTTCCATCTTGTCGCTGAGAAAAATCCAAGGAAGGATTAGTTGTTGACAAACTTAAATGAACTTTTAAGTCGCCCCTCTCCCCACATCGACTCACCGCCTGTCGGAACTAAGCACCGGTCGATAATTCGGTCCGGGATCAAATTAGGCCGCCTGTCCAATTCGTCACACACGCCGATCCACCGAAACTAATTCCAACTCGGCTCCTCATTGGTCCATTTTGCGTTTCGGTAGAGAATTTTCGTTTCTTTTCTTTTATTTTTTTATTCTTTCTTTTTCATATCTTTTTTCCCCTCTGTCTATCTTTCTCCCTATTTCTTTTCTTTCTTTTGGGGTTAGTTTTCTCGTTTGATTTTAGTTATGTATTTTTTTTTTTATTATTATTATTTCATTCCATAAAATTTCGGTTCTAAAACCGTTTTTCCGTTTGATTAATTTTTAGATTTCTTTTTTTTTTTTCATTTTATTTCCGCCGTATTTTCTGGAATTTTTCAGTCGTTTGAACTTGGCGTTTTCCTCCTCTTTTTTCTTTCTTTGCTCGTTTTTTTTCTCCGTTGACTGTTTTGTTTCCTCGTTTCTTTCCTTCTTTTTTTTCTTTCTTCTTGTTTTTCTCTTCATTTTTCTCTTTTCTCTTGTTTTTCTCATTCCTTTTTCTTTCCTCTCTTGTTTTTCTCTTTTTTTTCCTGTCTCATTTTTCTTCTTTTTCACTCTTCTTCTTCTTCTTCTTCTTCTTCTTTCTTCTCCCGCTTCTTTCCATTTTTCTTCCTTCTTTTATTTTTCTCCTTTTTTCATTCTTTACTCGTTTTTCTCCTTTTTTCTGTTTCTTCTGTCGTTTCTCTCATTTTTTATTCTTCGCTCGTGTCTCTCCTTATTTCTTTCTTTCTTTCTTCTCGTGTCTCTCCTTTTTTCTTTCTTTTTGCCGTTTTCTTCTTCTTTTTTCTTTCCACTCTCTCGTTTTTCTACTTCTTTTTTTTCTCTCTCGTTTTTCTTTATCATTCTTGTTAACGTCATTATTTTTTTAATCATTTAAAAAAGAATTAACTTTTTTATTTCAATGTATAAATACTTGTTACAAATTAAAATCTTTGCATTTACCTTGATAATATGCATCAGAGGACGAAAAACGTCATTTCATTTTGTCTTTAGTGTTTGAGCCTTTTATATTATATTCTTATTTTATTATTATATTCTTGGGAATATATATATATATATATATATATATATATATTAGTAAATTTAATGATTATAAAATGGGGAAATTCCTTTTGCTAAATTTTTAAAGGTGCATTAACCTACCAATCACTCGATGAATATTAGGATCCTTGTTTTTTATTATAAGCTGTATAAGGTCTTTCTTAAATGTGAAAGTAGTTTCGACTATACATTCAGTCATCTTCAGGCATGGAAATTATTTTGTTTTTGGTAAAATTCAGGTAGCATCCGAAACGGAAAGAATACAGCTTATAATTTTTTAAAAATGATCATAACATTCATCAAGTGATTGGTAGGTTAAGGCATCTTTCAAATTTTGCTAGCGAAAGGGATTTTGCTATTTTATATCTTTTTACTAATTTACTTTTTTGTATGAATGATTCATTGTAATATAAATATATATATATATATATATATATATATATATATATATATATATATATATATATATATATCAGCCCACTTCGAAGACATTCGAGAGAAAACAATGATCTAGATTAGATGTAGGTCTTGATGTTGTAGAAGGATGTAAGTCAACAGAAGAAAAGAATTTAGCACATGCAGCAGTGAAAAGGGATTTGAGGAAAGATATTACCAGGTGCTTGGATGAAAGCATTGCAATCTGGAAATGCAAGACATGTGGTTGTATCCTAATGTCAAAAGCTGGGTAGGTTAATCATCTGAAACCCCATGAGAGACGACCTAATGGTGGTGTACAATGATGACCTAACACAGCAACATTCGCTTAACCCTGTGAATAGTCTGGAGCACATGTCTCATCTATGATAAAGGCCTTGCAAATCAGCTACTGCTTTGAAGAGCTAACTTAGAAGATAGATAGATAGATAGATAGATAGATAGATAGATAGATAGATAGATAGATAGATAGATAGATATGAAAATATTAATGAGCCACTTACGCGGATTTGTGTATGTGTGGGGTGGTTTATTTTACACCCATAGATGCAACGTCAAAAACCTATCGCTATTTCTATGGAAAATGTTCTGGCGAGCTCCATTCCATAATTTTACAAATTTGTACCACAACAGCTAAGACCCTCGATGCCATGTAACAATGGCGAACCACATCAACTCCCTTCGTATTCATATGGAAAGAGGTGGGTCCCATTTGGATAGCGTCTCCCCAAGAGCTACTTCTTTGTGGATGTTTCTCTGACTGCTACAATCTTAAATTCATCATATCTACTGTTTACTTTTATCTATGCACTATATACTCATAATGTACAATTTTTACTTCCTCATTTATAAACTCATACAGTAATACTTCGGCCTTGAATTTGGTGAACAATGGAGTAATATATATATATATATATATATATGTTAAGTTAAATTTTGCTTAAAATACTTGTATCTATAAATAACAACGTTAAACATAAAAAAAAAAATTAAAAAAAAATGTCTTTAATAAATAAATTGTCGGACCTTGTCCATTTCTTAACATATGACGTCATTTGTTTACATTCGATACGCCAGAGCAGTTATGAATGTACGAGATTCATGGAAGATTGAAGTTTATAAACAGTAAATTCGACCTTGTCTACAGTCAGGTTCTTTGTGGCCGAGACGTTTAAGGCACATCAGCGTATATGACGGTTCCTTATAGGATGCAGGTTCGAATCCTGTCAAAGAACGAATATTTTCTATGAAAATTTCTCGGACATTCAGGCCGGTAAATGTTATTTAATACTGTTTATCATAAACAGAGCATTTGCTTAAAATACTTGTATCTATAAATAACAACGTTAAACATGTCTTTAATATATATATATAATTTAAACGAAAATTATAACACAGATATGTTATAAAACCACTACAAATATAGCTATTTTTTTAAAACACTTCTGGTGCTTTATCAAGTGATGGTGTTGAATGTAACATAAAAAGTATAGTAGAATGTTTAATTTTATTATTTAGAAGTATTTTAATTTTAATAATTTAGAGTATTTAAAATGATTTCTATTTTACTCTAACCCTAATATTAACACATTAATAACTACAACCAAAGTTCGTTGTCAGGTTTTGTGAATTCTCATATACTTGTATTTTAATTAGTCATAGCAGCTTATATAACAGCGTTTCCCCTATTGTGGTGGGGTCTGGTCGATTTGAACCATATTTACTTTAAATAAATCCTCACGTGTGCCGTGATAAAGTCTATCCAAAGACGAAACGTGTTGGCAAAGTTTGAAAATTTTTAGGTCATTGAGAACAAAAGACACTCACTGTGTTATTGGCCCTAAGAACCTGCTGATGTTTCTTTTAATGGACTGTGATTGGACGGTTCAAAAGTGAACCGCCCCCTTTGAAGGGAAAGCTAGAAATGGGACTGGACCTTAGCAGCAGTTGGAAATGAGACCGCTTAGAAACAGGAGATTCGGTTCTCTCTGACTTCTGAAAAGGCAGGCAGCGTTTGTCCATAAATAAAGGGTAAATGGGTAACAAGTTGCTGAGGGAAAGTTTCCCCTTCAGAGAAAGTTTCGAGAAGTCCTCTGAAAGAAGCCCCAGAAAAGAAAGTTTGAAAAGAAGTCCATAAGTAGAGTTTGGAGAAGAAGAAAGGGCAAACACGTGCCTTTTCAAAAAGTCTTTTAGCACGTGTTTAAGTAATTTTTCACCTTCTAGTGGCTGTAAAAGAAAGGCGTAATATCCAGGCGAACGGGAAGAAAATATGTGAAGAAAGAAGGGAGTTTGGTCACCAAAAAGAGAATCTTGCCTACACAAGAGAGAAAAGATAAAAGATAAAAACTTTTGAACCTTGAAAGGACTGAAAGTGTACTGTGGAGCTAAGGCTCTCCCCCCTTTTTTTATTGTTATCCTTGACACAACAGACGGGCGCAATTCTTTTTTTTTTTTGTTTTTTTGGTGCATTGTAATTTTTAAGTTCGTTTTCTGCTATGTTTTTTTTTACATTGTGTTACTTAGAGAATAGGTTATCTTATTCTCACCAAAAATGGACAAATTTTTGTAAGAACCCTTAGTTAGCTGGTTAGAAATAAATATTTTTTCTTTGTAATTGAATCTGATTTGCATTTTTATTTCTTTTTCGTCATTAATTCGGGCAGTAGTGAAAATACTATTGCAGCAGGTTTTATTTTCTTTCAGAAAATAAAATTTCCGAAACTAAGGTTTCCTTTTCTCTTTTTTTATATTGCCCTTTGACGGATATAAATTGGACATATCTAAATTTGAAATTCCTTTGTAACTAGAGATTCGACCTGATGAACCAGGAAAAAAATATATTTTCTGGGAAAATAAAGTATAGTCGTGCAAGCTTAATGTCGTATCTTAATTATTTAATTTCTACACATATATATATATATATATATATATATATATATATATATTCGAGAGTTATATTGGATCAAGTCTGGTTTGTATCTTTTGTTTTTTTCTAATGTTCTGTCATTAACTTATCTTCCAAAGAAATAGTCGAATTAAATACGGGAGTTAGAAAACTTTTGCCACATTGTAAAGAATGAAAAAAATCGATAAATGAAAATTAGCGGAAATTTATGTCGTTTGAAATTTACTGTGTGGTGTCTTATCGAATGTTCTTGTTGAAATAATTTCGATTTTCGATAACAAAAGAGACGCATTGTCTATCGATCAACTTTTATATAAACTCGCAAGAGTTTTAAATTATGGTTTTCGGGGGGAAAAAAGCGATATTTGATAAGATTCAAATTTTTAATCATAATTTGAACAAAAATCCTGCTAAAAAATCGATCCTATGTACTGAGCGATTAATTTCATTACACGTTTTCCATTTTTTCTGTATTCAATTTATCGTATCTGTCTATATTTCTGAAATGAAGTATTATGTACATTATTTACATTATTCGAACTACTGTCCACATTTTGTCGCCATATTTATTACAACGTTTCGGTCAGGTGGTTGGAATGTCGAACTGAACCCTCTATTTCGCTCACTGGGGTAGACTGTTCTAGTTCCACGTGCCATGTCTGATGTATGTCAGTTATCAGCTATCTCCTGTTAATTTCCCTCTCCAAGTTCTCAACTGCCTTAACCTGGTATTGAACTCACACTCTTTTGCTCCTGACACTGGATCTAACCAACGCCTTTATCCACTGTGACACGTGTCCTTGAGAACATTTGTGTATGAATTAATTACTCGGTATTATAAACCTAATGTATTCAGCAAGCATTTTTTACCAGTGCTCATATTGCAATTTTTGCTGTTATAAACATGTTTTTACCAGAGCTCATATTGCAACTTTTTGTTTTATTATCGCTTTTCTCTGGCACTCCTTATTACTGGTTCCCATATTGTATTCATTTCTGTCTTTGGTCGGCTCAGGAGATTTTTGTGGCCTAGCATATGTGCTGATTCCTGACTTCAATTTTATATATATATATATATATATATATATATATATATATATATATATATGGGTAACTACACTCGTCTCAGAAAATTTTTAAAAAATAAGTGCGACATTACTGTAATTATTGAACAATATAGTTCATGCCACTTTGACAGAAAATTTACCAGTAAAAACATTCGTTCATCACCATATTTTATATGAACGCACAACCTTTAAAAATTTAAAATCAAACTCAGCGTTGCTACTGCGCGTTCCAAAAACAATAACTCATTTTCAATAGCATTTTCGGATACAACAATACATATATTTTCGTTGTCCTCTTATTACTAAGAGAAAAAACAAGAACAACATCTATTCTATACCTGAAGATGTCTGTAGGAACAGACGAAAGCTTGTAGTAAAAATAAGAACTAATACGGCAGAAATTTATGGAAACAAGGATCATTTCATTCA